GAATCGATACAACAGTAACTGCTAGTGTACCTCTGCTTTTCTAATGTTTTATCATAAACTGACAGCGGGTAATAAGGGCTGGACAGAGAGGGTGTACAGGGTGCTCTTATCACCAGAAACTATCCTGTACAATCTCCTAAATCACACCTTGTAGGACAGCAGTTTTTTTCCTTTTTTTAAAGAATAGTTTAGAGAACATAATTCTGTTGAAGTTGCTCTCGGATATTTCTAGGCACGGAAGGATAAATAAAAAGAAAACTGTATGGAGAAACTGCAGACTGGACTTGTTGGGCCTATACATACTCTATGGGATTTGTGTGGCTCAGAGTGGCAATAAATTTAATTCACGTGATACAATCCGGAATTGTACTTACTGATGTAACGGCAGGTTTTTAAGGAGGACGGAATTGAAAAGGAAATCTGGGCAGAAATAAACATCAACAAGAAAAAGCACAGTAACACTATAAATGAAGTGTTATGGTGTGAGATGCGGGGAGAAGCCAGAATTTATTCAATACTCTGGATGCAGTCTGAGGTCAAATGATCAACGTCCACGGTTTAGCAAGACTCAGGACCTAATTGCAATCGCCGGCCATGGTGCTGCAGGATGTGGTGGAGCTCTGAGGCTTTTAAAGCCTGATAAACTCTGAAAGCCTTTCAGAGCCTCATCAGCGCTCCGTTCTGGAAGTGGCCGCCGCACGTCGCCACGGTTACAAGCGAGAAGCGGCAGCCGGGGGAACGGCAGAGACTCGCTGAAGCTACGGTCCACATGCTTAGAGCAGTATCATCTACAGAATGTCTACAATCGTTATTATATATTCAAAGGATGGTATGGTTGTATCATTATACGTCTGTCATTTCCTCATTTTTCACACTGCACTGACAGGTGAAACATTATAGATGTAAGCTGACCGCAATCAGGTTCAGACAACCCAAAAGCTGTAAAAAGAAGCAGATAGCCTACTTGATGGCTTAAAGGAGTCTTATTAAAATTAATGTCATCAAAAGGGGAGCTTTCATTTTATAGATCCATTCCAGAAAACCGTGTTTCTCTCTGTTCTGGGTTTAAAGCCCCTTACATTTACAAGCATATTTAGCTGCCCTACAGAAGTGACCCTTCACTGTGTTTAGAAGACTGGTATAAAGTCTACGGCTGTAGATGCTGCCGTTGATTCAGAACTTGGTACAACTCTGGAGAGTGCTTCTGCTGTCTCTCAATGCGAACTGAGAGGCTCAGAAGGAGCTTCTACCCTCAGGCCATCAGACTACTTAACACTAAATTGACAGTTGCACTTAAACATTTGCTCCTTACTCATGCACCAGGCCCTTCACTGGAGCTCTGTTGCACATATCTGGTTTTCCTTTTTCCTCTTTATTCCCAGTAACTTTACTGCTCCTTATGCATTACATATTTATAATAGTGTTACTTTATGTCTTAGTGCTTTTCACTAATTCTTACTATGGTGGAGTTGGTCATCTTGCATTTCACTGCAGGTTATATAGTTGAACTGTATGTCTTGCATGTGACAAATAAATCCCTTGAATCCTAGAAAATAAACACCATCCATGGGAATACCTTGCCTGCCCATGTCCAGTTGATGATAAGTTTGTGTTTATGAATGTGATGAGTCTTCTCATATTTTAAATCGCATCTTTTTCATTCAGTTTGTGGCTTTTCCCTGACTGCCTCGTTCATGTTGACCCTCCGCTACCCCCCCGTTCCCCCCGATTTATACAGTTATCGATCAGCCTGGAGCGTGGGGGGCTTCTGGGTGACTTACTGCCCGTCACGACCAAAGTGCTTGGCTCGCTAAAAAAACCCGGTCCTATTATCTTGCATTTAATTAAGACGTGGCTGCGGTTCCGCGCCCCATTATTTGCCCCGGCTGGGTCTTGGAGGCATAAATATTGAACCGTTGCAGCCTCTGAATGTTAATCAATCTCCGCCGAATTCCAAATGATTTCACGCATTTGAGGAAGTGAATATCTGCGTGCAGTATTAACCAATCCTCTTATTACTGCCTCCCCCCCCGACACACATACACACACAGAGGCACAGGATAAGTTCATTGATTCTGACAAGGGAAATAAGGCATGCCTGCTTAATAAGAGCCCCCCCACCCCCTCATCTGGAAACGAGCATTTTAGGAGGGAGGAAAATTCCCTTTTAATAGCATCAACGCGCTTCCAGTTTGTTGTTTCAGCAAATTGACAGGTGACCCCTTTGCGGTCAGGGCGCGGGCTTCACAGGATGAAAATGCTAATGAGAAGATCTGCCAGACGACTAATCCCCCCCCCCCATCCCCCCATGCTTAAATGTAGGCCAGAATTTTCCGAACTCCACGATTCTGCTAGATTCAGAAGCCCGGTTTGTTATGACCGACCAGCATTACCGCTGTGCTTTATTCGGTCATCGAGGGTTAGAAAAACAGATGAGTGAGGCGGCGTTGCAGGCCAGTGAGGAAAACCAGAATGGCACATGAATGGGTGTTAATAAACGCCTGGCTTTCTGCCCCTGTCAGCAAAAGTCGCTGAACCTGTTTGGTGCTCGCCCACCCCCCCCAGACAGGAATGCTTACGAAACCAGGGGGGTGCCTTCTGCCAAGACCATGCCGCTCTCCTGAAAATTACACAGGACGGGACCTGACCTCAGATGATAGGGGGGACTACATCAAGGTGGGGGCTACATGAAGGTGACTGTGCATCTAACTCCACCCCATCAGCTTTCCCATGTGGCATGTCGGCACAGCCAGATCACTCACAGAAATATGGAATAAAGGGAAATTCAAATAGGCTCTATCACACACACACACACACACACACATACAGAGATACAGAAATGCACACAGACAAAAAAATACAGCAACACACATCTGTACCCCAGTACTCATGCTGCACTGTTACACTGTTACAAAAGCAGTGTGGTGTAGAGGAAGAATGCCAGCCCTCATGGGGAGGGGGTCAGTGCCCAGGGGGACACCAGGACACCAGGTCAGTGGCACAGGAGGCGTGTGTCGGGCCATCACAGCCCAAGGGCCTGGTGTGGGGGTGGATTGATGTGTGCTGCGTCGTTATTTACTCACTGATAAAGCTTTAAACTTGACGGAGAAGAAGAAGACTTTGTCTAGGTGCTCAGATGCATAGGGATTGAGGTTCTTGAGGCCAAATGATGAGCACACTGGCTCTCTGAAATGCAGCAGGACAGGCAGAGGCACAGCCCCACACAACCACCCCACGCCAGGGGCTACCAGCACTCGCTCTCTGCTGTATTGACACCCGGTTTTATAAAGAGGCCCCCCTGATGGCTGATGTTGACAGATCACAGTGCCCCCCCCCCCGGCAGATTGCTCCAAGTTACAGATGGGGAGGGGAGCTGAGAGCTCATCAGCCATTGGGAATGTGATTTTGATTTCCGTTAAAAAGGTTGGCCCTGTGTAGCTCAGGAAAGAAGAAGCATTGAGTTCCGAGGCAGACACTGGGAATTTATGTCTGTAACACGTCTTTGTGTGCATGAGAACTGTGTTTGGAAGCTGGATTGGGCTTTGTTTGGCTATGTTTGCTGCTTTTAAAATAAAATGCATCTATTTCAGGTTTGACTGATGGTACCTTTATAATGAGGCAGAAAGGTTTTGCTTTTATGAAGCGAAAAATGCAGTTATTTAACTAAGGGCACAACTGTTGTACATTTCAGTCATTCACCAAACCATCCATCTTTAAAAACTCTCTTCTGGTTAGGGTCATGATTATACTTACAACAATTTAAATATAATTTATGAACTGAACGGTGTGATGTTAACAAGCCATGACAGGTCATTGAATTCACATACTAAATTCTTAATTTTCCTGTTATGACGTGACACTTCTGTTCAGTTTCTTTGGAAACGTTTGACATGGTCAAAGTGACTGAAAAAAAAGAAACTGAAGGTGTTGAGATTTCAGAGACAAAACACAATGAAAATAGATGCAAAAGTGAAAAATCTGAATGCTAAGAATCCAGGAGAAATGGTCCCCACTGCACTGCACACACATATATACATATATATATGTAAGCAAGCATGCATGCCCAGGCGTCTGAGGGCTCAGCTACTAAGGCCTGAAACTCGCCACAGGCGATACACATTTTGCAGGCAGAACTTCATTTTTTTTTTTATATCTAAAAAAATAATTTACATAATCAACCCTCAAAAGGGGGAGGGGCAGATAAAATAAGACAAAGCAAATGCAAAGTCTGTCAAACTACAAGGAAAATGCCAACACAGGAAAGCACTACACTTTACTTCTGAGTGACACATGGGGTGGGTAAGTACACTCTTCCACCTGCCTTGAGATTCAATGACTGACTGATTTGTGGTCCTCTAGCGATTGCATCGGGTTCAAGTAGTAGAACGGAGGCTTGAGCCCAAGTCGAGCCCCTACCCCTAAATCCTGCCAAGCGAACGTGTGCTCTGTTAATGAATCATGCAGCTCATCAACGACCAGGAACTCCACTGACTTTAGGTTTACGATACAGGAGTGCAACGCCCATAGCCAAGTCTGCTCAATACATTAACTGGACTTGGCTGATGGAGATTTAATGAGCTACGGTACATTAACACGGCATGAAATTATGGGAATAATATAATGATACAGCCAGTGATGAATGATAGCTGAGAATAAAAGGGATTTTGTTAGAATAATATTGTACGCTAAAGTTAAGTCCAAACTGAAATGCCAGCTGATACTATCGGACAACACGAGACCTCTGGGTCACGATTCTGAACATTTGCCTAGTGATGCTGCTAGATATGACCACCTAGTCTAACACAGTGAAGGTTTAACTTGAACCATATTTTGTTTGGTTACTTATGGTTAAGGTTAGGGCTGGGTAGGGGTTAAGGTCATCATGCTGGAATTAGAGCTTTCCCCATAGAAATGAATGGAGAGTCCCCACAAAGATATAATTAGAAGCTTGTGTGTGTGTCTGTGTATGTGTGTGCGTGTTTTTCCCAGCATGTACTCACCCAGGCTAAAGAGCACCAGGAACTTGAGGCAGACAAACTCTCTCTGGTCAAACTGCAGCGAGCGAAGCTTCCCCACCAGGTCCTGAGCATGGCTCATGAGGTTGTTCAGAGTGGCTCCAGCCTGGGAGGCGATCACAGCGTAGTCCACCTAGAAAAGGGCGAGGGGTCAGCTGCTAAACCAAGGGATCTCAACCTCCCTCATCCCCACAGAGCAGCAAGTGGTTAAGGATGTATACTCTCGTTTGCACGTGTTTACTGCGGGGGGGGGGGGAGTACTGTAGAACAATGTTTCCCAACTTGGTCCTTGAACACCCAGAACCGGTCCACGTTTTTGCTCCCTCCCACAGTTCACATTTTTGCTCTCTGTCTGTGGGTCCCCCAGAACTGGATTGGGAAACACTGCTGTAGAAGTTTGGCAGGTGATTTCATCCAGAGCGACTTACAGTTCTACATTTCACCTGCTAATTTGGCTGTATGCATTTCCAAACCAGGAACCATAGCATGGGTACAACAGGAAGGTAGTGCTTGGGATTCAACCAACCCCTTAACCCCAGCACTGTCTGACAGACAATCAAGCCACAGGAAAACCTTCATAAATTGTGGGAATCATAATCTAGATGGTGGAAGCCCCAGTCTTCTAAGTCCAAAGGGAACCATTCAGGGTAAACATGACATGAAGCGAACTTTCATTTGTGGTCACCGGTCACTGTTTTACAAATTTTATTTACAAATGCAAAGTCTCTAAAACATGGAAGGGCCAAAAATAACATATATACATGTCCACTGTGTTTGCTGATCAAACAATTCTGCAATGGTCACTGATATTTTTTTTAAAAGTCCATAAATTACAGAAAAACAAAATACTGCTAATTTTTGGTGAATGTGAATAATGCATATTAGCTACGGTCCAGAAACACTGATACTTATATTATTGCATTTTGCAAATGCTTTATAATTTTACTCCATGAATGTTCCATGCCGCTTGTTACTATCACGTTGCTATACATATTTACATTCTGCTACACGTTTTCTGCAAAAAAGGCCTAACTGAGAATATATAAATCCTACGGTGATAAGCAGAGGTCCTCAGAAACCTCCTTTTGACTGAGCTTGTTTTGATCTTACATTTAAAAGACTAGATTAGAAGACTTAATGTTTTCAGAAGTTCCTTCCTTTAAGCAAGCAAAGCTCTAAAATCATTCAGGATCTTCCAGGGTCTTTGTAAATTTCATATTCAAGGACGTTTCTTTTCAAACTCAAGCCTGACAAGGCCACCAAAGCCGAGAATGTTTCAAATCCTCCACATTTAATATATATTCAGATGTACTTATTACGGATTCTGTTCATTGGGGCGTTCTCCTATTGAGTACATGCCAAAACATATATTCTGTGCACCATACAAATAAACATTAGAAAGGTCACATGACTGGCGTAACTTCCCAATGGGGTATTTCTCTGTCTCTGACTTCTGCCTGACCACTCGCTCACTCCTCCTCGACCTGATCTCAAAGCTCATTGGTGTTACAGGCTCGCACGTGGCCTATGCAACATGCCCTCTATCTTATCAGCACATTGGACAATTGGAAAGACGGATTGGACCCACACGCTAATTAACATCAGATGAACAAAAGCTTTGCCCCCCCCCCCGAAATGGCTGGACACGAGAGGCCAGGCGTGAGGGGGCGGGGGTGCCTGCAGTCCCCCACCCATCCAGGTCCCATGCTCTTCAGCTCCACTTTCAGGGGCATTTAAAATCTGCAACAGCAGCAAATTTGTCTGGAAGGCAAATCCTTTGCTGCCGTTCACTGTTAGCAGGCTGCGTTAAATTTTTATATTTATTGACAATTCATTACCATAATTGACTGCACTTGAGTTTCTAGAAGGCGGCTGGCAAGAGCCTCCTGATCAAAACATGGTCCCCTGTGCAGCATTTGCAATTAAAAATCAACCCAACTGGAATTTGTTTATCGTGTAAATATGATATATGGAATTTTCCAGCTAGTCTTGAGACTTCCGATGGAATGCTCGGTCTGTTTCTCACCTGGCGCTCTCTGTTTTAAGGCCGTTAAAAAGTTATGAGTCAGTGAAAAGAGGAACCCCCCCCTGCCCCCGTCTGCCTTGACTGATAATCAATTTACATGAAATCTACTGTGTGTGAAATAATGATGCTTACAAAAACACAGCTCCTGCTTTCCCACTTCAAATTACTTCCTGTTCTACAATGAAACACCCATCACTGAAGATTTACAGTAAATGTGTTCGCTACATATATCTCACGTCATATGAAAATATACCACGTCAAACTAAATGTGCTGCAAACACACTGCCATGTCCTACCTGGAATTTCTGCACTCTCAGTGTTTGCAAATTGATTTCATCTGTTTATCAATAAACCTGTCAAGAAGTGACTATGATTCCCGAGCAGGACAGTGCAAGTGACTGGATATAAATCAGAACTATTAAAAAAATAATGGTTTTGTAAAGAGGGTTTTCATCTGACATACAGGTCAAATCCATTACCAGGTCTAATCTCACCTCTGAATTTAACATTTATTAAATTATATGAACATATTTAATGTCAGTATTTCAACAGTGAGTGAAATCTATTTCGACTCTAGCACATTCTCAGCCATGGGCTTACAGAGCAACGCTGTTGATGGTTAATCGGACAGAGGGTTGAGGGGATGGTGTGGGGTGAGGTTGGGGCCATTTTCCCGCTGATGAATAAATGACAGTGGCTTGAGAGTTCCATTACATGGGACTGTTACCAAACATGCTCAGATCTGCCCTGGAATCTCACAAAGGCAGTAACATTTATGGCCTCTATTCTACCCAAACACCCCAAACAGAGTATTCTATATTTTTATAACTATCCGAATCGGAGCGACTGACTTTTCCTTCTCCCCCATCCTACTAGCTACGCCTCCCCTATTCTTCTCTGTACCCCCCACCCGACGCCGCAGCATCGAGAAGTTGAGACCGCATGGACCTCCAGGCTGAGGAGGAAGCTTCTGGTCTGAGGTGGCTGTCACTCCCAGCCCGGTAGAGAATAATCAGACATAACGATGTGTTTGAATGTGTCCCCTGTCCCCTACAGGCTCTTCAACAGCAGCTGTTCATTAACCAAAATATGCAAATAAGTCTGAGCTCCCCCGTATCTCCTCCCTGCTGGCTCTCGCCTCTCAGACAGCTTCCTCTTATCAGACACGGATGATGGAGGTTGGATGGGTGATGGGTGAGGTATCAGGGTGAGGGGGGAGTTTAAGCAGCTCTGTCCTCAAAGTCAGCATTTCTGTGATTCCCCCTGCCCCCCCCAAGAACAGAGAAGAAAGAGGTGTCTTGCAATTTTGGGGACCTCGTCCCATGCCAGGAATGCATGAGATCAAAATGCCCTCCCTGCCAGCCTGAAGGGACTGCGGTTCCGCTCCAAACGTTACCACCAAAGACATCATGTCAGTCCTCTGACTGCTCGCAAATCTGTCGGCATTCAGATCCCAAGTGCGTTCATCTCCACACGTGAAATGTTATGGAGTTTCAGCTGTTTTGCTGAAAGGTCATGGAAGATTCTATTACAGGTATGATTCGCGTTGTGCAACATTCAAAATTTAGCTGTTCAGAGCTGCATATTTACTGACAGAATCCATAGCCAGCTATTTAAACTGCTGTTGAAATGTGACTGGGAAAAAAAAACACATTATAAGGTCTTTGGTTGGAAAGGGAGCTCTTCAGCTGGCCCTAAGGCACAGAGCCAGCAAACCATACATCTCCAGAGGATAGATGGCAAATCCCTTTTTCTTTGACTCATATTCTCATACGATCCCCATAAAAAAATGCAGAATTGATTATTGCCACCACATTAATCTCTGTCCACAGAATAAGATGATATATCTCTGATGGAGCACTGATGGCATTTGGGGAGCAGTAGATCACGAATTAGCGCAAACTAACTCTCTCTGCGGGTGTTTAAGAGGCACCATTTCCATACGGTCAGACGACTTACTTGTTGACCGGTAACCAGGAGGATGGAGCCATCTTTGGCGTGTACCACTTGTCGGAAAATGTGGTCGAGGATTAAGAGCTCGCTCCAGCAGTTCTGCAGCAGCTTCATTTGGTCGTCAACCTGCCGAGAAAGAACATCAGAAACCGCATGGTTATGTTTGTTCCATGGTTCTGTTACCAATATATATATACACACACACACAGACACACATATGCAAGTACTGTATATATAGAGAGAGCTTCATTCACATCTTATTCACAGAAAAAGTATTTTCCCCAAGTCATTTGTTAAGATCAATTCCATTCCTCAGGTAATATATTCTTATGCATGAATATAAGTAAAATATTCTGTGACCATCCATCCATCCATCCATCAATCTATCAATCTTGCCCTGGTGAGGGTTGTGAGGCTTATGCACATAGAATGAAATGCATACATAAAGTAAAAATATATGTGTGATTGTTAAATTAATGAGTTCTATTTTAAGGAGTCTTTAAATTTCTGTTTCATGATTTTCATTCAGCCTCTGCTGGCTGACTCCCACTGGCTGATATCTTGCCTTGGGTCCCATTACATTGTGTTATGAAGACGAAGCACAACAAGCATTGCAAACCTTTCCCTTCCTGTGAGTCTAGCTACATGGCAGCTAGTGGGACAGGCCTTCACTCAGGGACAGGCCTTCATCGCGGGACAGGCCTTCATCGCAGGACAGGCCTTCATCGCAGGACAGGCCTTCATCGCAGGACAGGCCTTCATCGCAGGACAGGCCTTCACTTCTCACTGGTGTTAATTTATCTGCTCGTCACACCACACAATCATCCAGTATTTATAATGATTAGCTTGCAAATGTTCTGCCGGAAACCAAGCCTCCCCCCCGTGCTGAGAGATGCTGGACCCCATGGCAGGAGAGTGGGGCGTAGGGCCTCGGATAAACCTGGTCATTGTCCTCACCACTGTTTCCCATACCTCTCCGCGTTAATGATTACATACCATATCCGAATGAGGACGCGAGTAGGCAGGAGAATGAGGAAAAATGAAGAATTCTACCCCCTTTCTGCCCCCAAAACAAACATAGCTCTGCTGATACCGTTATCTCGTATGTGGTAAACACAGATTGGACCAAAAAACAACTATATTTCCCCTTTGTTTGGAGCCCCTATATATGTGCCAGACAGGGACAATCGTCACCAAACACCAGAGTTAGAAATCAACATTTTGCAACAGGCAGAGCAAATGGCCCAGTGGATTGTGGGTGACATGGTATTTATTTAAAAACAAAAAACAAAACATAAACTGTGTTTTCTAAGACCAATACTACCTCAGAATAAAAAATGACAACTTCTTCAACTAAGAAAATTGTTGTGTAATTGGTAAAAATATGCAAATTTTTTTGTAACGATAACTGTTTTGTCTTCTAAGAAGCTTATCATTCACAGTCACAACAAAAAAGAAAAAAATACACTGAGTGTTTGGCTGGCGTGTTTGGGAAAGGGAATGCAGCTCCGACTTTATTGATGGGGACCTTAACGCAATAACATTTAACATTACAGTTTTTGCTCAAAACCGAACTTGAGGAATAAAGCTGAGTAAGACATTGGAGGGTGTCCACCAGAGATACCAAGACACCAAGAACACCTTGCCCAATCTCAGCTGGAATTTTTCCGAGTGTACATAAAGTCCTTTGGACTGTTTCAAACTGCAGTAGATGTTGTCTTGTGGATGTCCTTAATAGACTCTACCAGCCATGAAGCTCTGATTGCCACACCAGTCAGAAACATTTGTAAGATATAACAATTGAAGAAAACAATTACAATGAAGCCAGTCTAAATCTGCAGGGTTTTTTTTTGACATATGCAAAAGTGCAGCGTGGCAATGAAGGACTGAAAACCTGCTGTGAGAGACGTGAACAGTGATTTTTATGTCAGAAGATCTGTGCCACCAGTGTCATTCTTGGGGGCCGAAGGCAATGATGGGGCCAGTTTTCAAAGCATGCGTCAGAAGACTGCGATTCAGGGACGGGGTCTGCAATCAAAGGCCCTTCACAAAAAAGGACAAGGAAGGTGGCATAGATGAAATTGAGAGGGCGACAAAACCGCTATCATGGCCTTCATACTGTATGTACTGTCAGTATGCTGAGATGACAGGGCTTTAATGGTAAGCATGCCCACTCTGCCCCACCAGCCCTCTCAGCCCCTCCCAAAGGAGGCACTGGAAACAGCCCATATAAGTAGTTAGCGCAACTTAATTTCACAATTTATCACATGTAATTAAAAATTCAAAAACACAAAATCATTCATCGCAATGCAGGAACACTAACAGAGCCAGCTTGATAGAATTTGAACTTGCTGGAAATTAATTAGTACTGTTTCAGATACACTATGACACAAATTGTAACGATAATATAACCATCCATTATTCACAGTTATAATATGCTGTAAAATGTAACAATAATTATTCCCTAACTGTATATCAAAGCCATATGGAAATACATATTTCTTATTAGTATACAAAGCACTACACATGCTATCTTCCTACTAAATACAAACTCCTGGTAAATTAAACTGCATTCCACTATCAGCAGTAAAAGACTAAATTAACAGAAGAAAGTTCTTAGCTTAATGGAAACTTTAACGCTTTAATGTCATTTTGTTAATCTATCATGAAATAAATGACCCTGCTTCACTGCCTCTGTTGGAGCCTAGCTACTGTATACTGATAAGTTCACCACAGCAATATCATTCTTTGTCTGAACTGCTCCCCCTAGAGGTCTGCAGAGCAAGCACAATATAGATCACAGCCCATTTTTTCTTCTATTGCCATCCAGTCATATTCAGTCCTGGGTCATAGTGAGCCTATTCCAAGATGCATAACAGGGGAATACCATGAATGGAATGACGATGACACTGTCATTGTCTCCACCTCCAATGAAGCACAAGCATGCTGAGATATCTAGCAGGTAACCTCCAGACATCCTTATTTTTCTTAAGGGCTTCCCCTGGCATATTGCTGAGAAGCCTCATATACACTTTTCTGAATACAAATATTTTCTGCTATGTATAACATAATAGATAAAAAACTGATTAATCACCGTCAGTAATCAGAGTCAGCAGTAGATGGCACTGTTATTGGGGGCCCCTGTGGTTTGTTATCATGAACTGTGTCAATATACATCCAGTTGCAATGAAAGGAGTTCATGTTTGTCATTAACCATGTCTTTATGGTAAACTTAAAGACGGCACGAGGCGAATATACTTCAGGACAGGAGCCCACTCAGCCACACACTAGGACAAATTTACACTGATGTACGTGATAATTTACTACAAATGTAATTCTGTCAGAGAGCAGTGGAGCAAGCTGGTTAGAAAACTCAGGGCTTTAGATGGACCATAGCCAGGTCTTCTCCTATCTGTGAAATGAAACCAAATGGTATTCCACCGTCCAACTGGGAGGATTTATAAGGCCTCGTAATTCTTGGCACAGGTGCGCGTGGTGCTAGATTAGTAAACGCAGGCCCTGGGATGGCCGGTTGCCGTGGCGAATGTGAATCAGCAAGCTGGCCTCAGTGGGAGGTCCTTATTGGCTCCACAGGGTCAGCGAGCATCAATCTGATGGGGTGTGTGTGTGTGTGTGTGTGTGTGTGTGTGGAGGGAAAGGGGGTCGGGCGGTCCAGAGGTGGACTTTGGTAGGGCCAGTATGATGTACAGCCTGATCGATATCACCAAGGCATGGAGATTGATCAGTTCCCACAGTGACCGCATTAGCAGACCCAGAAGGGTAACCCCTGACCTGTACAACGGATTCTGTTCATTAGGAACCTCATCTTTGCATTAGTATAGGCAGAACTGTAATAATAATATCTGCTGTGATGCCAGTCATATTCATTGCCAAAACGACCCCCTCCCCCAGCACTGCGCTATGCCACATCAACATTCTGCCATATTAAATGACCACCCTTGTGCTAATCGTCTCAGTCGCTCCCCCACAGTCCCCCCTTCCTAGCCATTACGTTACACGGTAAATGGAAACAGCTCTTGCCGAAAGTTTTCTGGTCTGCCGAAGGCTGGAGTAAAAATATTCGTTTTCAAGGTCATCTCAGTAGGAAACATACGACGCGCTCGAGCGGGTAACAGATGTGAAAACGCTCGGTGTGTATATGTCCGGCGACAGCACAGAAAATGAAGAAACGGGAAAGAAAATAAAAGTCTTGCTGTACTAGCGATTTCCGGGAGGACATAAACACGCCTCCCCCTCATAGGTCTTGATGATAGATAAGCAGGACAAAAGCAATAATAAAGAAACAATATTTACTTGGTTCACCGGAAAACAGGGCAAAAAATTATGAAAAGCTTTTACTAGTGAAACAATAAAATAAGGAAACTGAAGGTGCTGGACTTTAAGCAAAGATTGATGTATTTCTACCATTCACTTGGAAAGACACAATCCAATCTTTGGTGTTAAGCAACACAATTTGTCAGGTATATTTTCTTTATTATTTAAAAATGGTCTCTGAATCTCCAACATAGGATCTTGGGAATAAGAAAGCTAAGAAGCTATCGACTAATTATCAGAAACTATGTGGGCTAATCAATTATTCAGATGAACATTAGTCTTGTAATATACTGGACATCAGACCATGGGGCAGGATGTCCCAGAAGTACCCCAACCCAAAATACAGAGAGGAAACTATGCCTTGCAGAGATAAAGTGTACACCTACGGTAGACTGGAAGTATTGATCTTTCCACAGCATGTGATCTACAAGGCCCTGCTATACATTAGCACAGCTGTGAATGTGAATCCACAAGCTATTTTACTCAATTCCTGAATTTATGAACCACCTTGCTCTTGGTGTGTTTGTCCGGCATGCTGACAGACACGGGGAAATGGCTCTGTCACTCTTCCGCGTATGCACATCTGACGAGACAGCGGTAAAATCTTCCTTCCTTCCTGTATTATTTGTATTCAGAAACACAATATAACGAACCACTAATGTTAACTTTATTTTTATTATATATAGCTATGCATGTATTTAATTGAAGCACTGGAAGATTCTGTGCATTACATGTGTTGCAGTGTCAAAGAAAATCCCAAAAAATCCATCCATCCATCCATCAAGTGGAAG